TGCCCCCACCCCCATGCCCCTTCCCCCAAAACAAACTTACCAGCTGGACCCAGCTGCCCTCCATGCTGCCAGGCTGTGCTCCCAGTCACCTGCGTGCTGCGCTTCGGCTGCATGCATGCACGCACAAGGCATTTATCGGTGGCATTACTGACCACATCAGTCCAAAAAAGCCGATTGCCAATACAGTCATTTTTTCTTATATCAGTGTCAATCCCACATGGGACCGATGCATCAGTGCACCTCTAGTTGCTGTTCTCTGAACCTGTGCTAGTTCTGCAACATCCCTCTGAAGAAGAGACAACCAGAACTGCAGTGCATCCAGAAGACACTGCTACTTACACATAGCCACAAAGAAGCTCGACTCTGCGATCCTGTTCTACATGCCAGTTAAATTGCTCATTAACTCTAGCCAGTTTTTGACTCAGGAAGACTTGACACACTCCTGCCACAACATGACACCACTTTACCATCTCTCTGCAGCTGATTTAACTGTCATTTTGAAACTATCTTGAGTTGTATTAGTGCAAACTTCACTGCAGACTTGAGCAATTCATTTTAACAACCATACACTGTTTTCCAGTAGTAAAACTAAGAAATCTCACACAGGTCCCCCCACAACATTCAAACCCATATTAAGAGTTAGGAATCTCATCCCAAAACACCAAGAGGGTAATATAAGAGTATCTTGCACAGATTGCTGCTTGAGTGAGAGCTGGCTGGCAGAGATTTAATCCAGACCAATATCCAGCTTCCCCAGTTTGACCTAATGTCTCACTTTTGATTTAGTTTTGTACCATTGTTCCCCTGACATTCTGGGAAGAACAATCCAAAACACAAAGAGGACATTGGCATTCTCTGATGTCTGACAGAGAGGAACTGAAGTACTCCCAAAGATGAACTAACCCACAAGAACTGGTTACTACATTTTTTCTCAAGTCTATTTCCACTCTGATGAATGAAGCTTTAAAAAAACAGTACATGTATGCATTCTGTCATGTCTTTACAGTCAGCATGAAACAACCCCTAACGTATTCCGTCATGTCTTTACAGTCAGCATGAAACAACCCCTAACGTATTAACATCACCGATTAAAAACAAACAAACAACCCCCCCCCTCACAAGACCAAGATTTTCAAAGGCAGAAGTCTTTAGTCAACAGGCTATGCTCCTTTCTCCAAATCTTCATTTTAAGCTACAAGATGCATAAAACTTTTGGCTTGTCCAAATATGAGTTTTACATTATAGCAGTTTGCCATATCTTACAGTCATTCAAGCTAATGTGATACAAAGTAAAAATATATGAACACAAAAACAGATTTCATTAATAAAGTTTCCAGTAATGTCTAAAACAATATAATCTCATTATGTTGGAGTTGCAACCAAGTCTCTAAACAGACACTCCAAGCAGAGATTTGTCTTTCTTAACCTGATAAACTTTCTTTCACTTAGTTGTAGCACTAATGCACAGTGCATACAATTTATTCTGTAAGACTGATGATTGTAGTGTCCCATATGATTACAGTGCTCTGTGCACAGCTTCCAACTGAGATTCCAATTCAGTTACCGTTTCACCTAGCTCCACAACTGAGTTTAAAACATGAACACTTCCTTAAAAGGTTGTTGTTGAGGCATTTAAAAACCACGCATTCTTTCTTTGTAACAAGCACTCAAGAGACTGAAACAGGAACCCAATTCCTTATCAACCATTTCAAGGCACACTGACTTGTTCAGGGGAAAAAATGAGTCGTCCAGAAACAAGTGACATTTTAGTGAGACTTTTCCCTTAAAATGGCACAGGATTATCTGTGACCCAATTCTACAGTTCATAAGCAACCAATATGGTCTTGGAAGGGAATTCCAGAGGAAGCTTTGGATATGCAAAACTGAAAGATTAGGCCCTTGGTTTCAGAAATAATGACACAGATTGAAAAAGTGGTCACAAAACCAAGCTGTACTTCCATTTCTGAGCACAAATTTTGCAACATCACTATGGAAAGTATTTAGCTTAAGGGCAGAAGGCTGCAAGCAACTGCTTGATTCAGTCCTAAAACATAATTAGGTTTTGAGAAATGGCGATCTTGTAAACACCTAGAATTTCAGTAGCAAAAATTAGGGAAAAAGGTTTATAAGCATGTAATTATGCATACTATTAGAAACAACAGCCCAGTCTCCTTGCCTCACCTCTCTGTTAGAAAGGCCCTGAACATTGTTCACTTGGAATGAAGCTACTCAGAAAATACAACTTACAATGCCTATTTTCTTAATCAATAAAATGAGAAGTGAAGTTTACAAGAAAAATTAATAGGTAATTAATAATTCCAATGTACAGCTATAAAATTATTTTGTTACTGCCCGACAAGATAAAGACCAAGAAGGGGATTTGGGGTTTTTTTTTAAATTAATACCCCTCCCTTCAACTCTTACTTTGTAGGAAGGAAAGAAGGAAGGAATGCAGGCAGGCAGTAGGTAGGTAGAAAGGCAGGTAGGTAACTGGACAGATATCCCACCAAGCCTGCGCAGCTCATTAACTGCTCCCACTGCTCACAATCCAGATATTAGATCATTTTGGAAGGGCAGCCCAGGATCCTGAACTTCCTTAATCCTTAGCTGTATACATATGCACTAGAATTTCAGGATTTTCCCCTGGTTATGTTTATATCAAGAACCCCTACTACATAGATTCCTACTGCACAGATCCCATAGGTGTATGCTTTTTCAATGCTTCACATTAACATTTAGTTTCAAGAGTTAACTTCTCCAAAATGAGTACCCAAAGGAGGGATCAGAACCATCTTCACCACACTTCAACAGGGTAGCATCATTCACATGCGTGCCATGACACATGGCAGAGCCATATGCCTAAAGCTGCAGTGCTTGGCAACCAACTCCACCCTAATCACTGACCACAATTCCAATCCTTGAGTAAAAGTTAATGAACTTCCTCCACTGGGGAAATGGACTCTTACAATAAAATGATGTAGTCAGGAGATTCAGGGGTAAACATCCTTCAACTGCAATTTCAGGAGACCAACTGCAAAAGCGGAAGTTTGCCATTAGAAGGGGAGGCATGACAGAGGCGGCTGTTGTGCCTTTTTCAGCTCTCCGGCTCCTAGCAGTATTCACTTGAGTTTTTGTTTCTCCACCTTTTGAATGCATTTAAATTCACCTGAAGTAAAAAACACTATAAATCTGGTTCTTTGTTCATCCATATCACAGTTACAGCACAGACATCAGCACTGCATATCCCATATATCCACAAACAGGCAAATGTGATATAGCTGACCTTTGGACTTCCTACTCATTTTCTTTCCCCTTATTTTGTGTTTGGTTTGGTTTTTAATTGATTCCATTCAGCATGAACATAAAATAAGTATCATCCATCAGGAAAAGTTCACTGTGTATTAACAAATGAAACAGCTACATCTGTAATATCTCACTAGCTGCTACTATACACAAGTACAGACTCGCACCCCCCTTCTATCTGACAAAGCACTTAGTACACCTAGAGGGAAATATAATCAACTGAGATAGAACACAGATTAGGAAGCAAAAAGACAGCTCTCTCTTTAAAAGAGACACATTATATGTATGAGCTGGAGCAGTAGCTGTCCTATGTTCAATTTAAGTACTATTCCAAATCCTTTCTAATTAAATACCCTCTATACACTGAAATCTCTCCCAAGTACTTTCATTAATGACACAGAAAACACCCCATAAGCTCAAAAGTGCACAGCTGAAAGTTTCTGTTGACTTTATGCCAACACATGCACTGATAAACTAAAACTTCCTTTTCTGGTGCTCTTTGAGACTATGAAACATGCAACAAGAATGGTGACAATAGCTTTATAAAGAAAGGAACCAGCACTCGCATATGTACAAAACAGAACCCAGAATTCCAATAACGTCATTTGAAAATGTCTGTGATATATAATAATCACATTGATGCATTTTTCAAACGCTGATCTGACATACACTTAAAATCTTCTTAGGATTTGAATGTTCTGAGTTTTCCACCCCATAATATGTTTTTTTGAAATGGCTCTTAAAAGTTGCAGCCCAAGAATTTTTAGGTGAACTGCAGAGCTGCTTCAAACAGAAACAGCATCTTTCAGTCTTCAAAAGGGCTTCCTGCTAGATGTAAACAGGCATCTTGAGCTTTCTGAAAGATTTTTCTCCTTAAATTCATTAAATAAAAAACCCATAATCATGCTTTTATCTACATTCAGAGTAGCTGCTTTAAGCTTTCCCTTTGTGGTGGTTCTTTTGGACACACAGATTCACATTTGTAAATAGCCCCCAAAGTGGAGGGGGCAGTGTCAGAATCAAAAATAAGAACTGCACAGTGGCCTTGGAAAAATCAGAAAAGTGCAAACTGGTGGACTCACAATAAACGCGAACAGCAGACAGGAAGACCTATTCTCAGGGACAAAACACAAAGAGCGTAGCTGAGAGGGCCAGACAAAGGCCGACCTAAACAAATAATCTGAGGTGGGTGGGTGGGTGCTGCTAGGCTTACTTTAACCTAGTCTCCTTCAAGCCATTGTCACATCACCACATGTGACCCACTACTGTACATGCAGGGAAGAGTGTTGCAGGGGCGGGGAAACTGCAGACAAAAAAATGATTCTGAGAATCACTGATCTGGAAAAAAGGAATGTGATACAGAGTTCTGCCAAACCTACTAATTAAAACAAGCTAATTTACACCTTACCTGGAAAAGTGTGTGGGTTGGGTGACCCTCTCTTAAGGCACTTAGAACAGAGGACGTGGACAGTATAGTACAGACCTGGCCATTCTTGAAGTAGTACATTCAGTTCTTCCACTAAGGGGGTTATGGCTTGCCAGGCCGTCCATATATTTGGTAGTGATGCGTGACTAGCAATAGACAGAGTATCTGGTTGCAGCGTGCCCCTGCCAGGCCTATAACTCACCACCACAGGCACCTTCCCCCGGTAGGCATAAATCTGGTATTTGCCGTCCGACCTCTGAACCACATGATTGTTAATTTGGACACTGTAGCGTGCAAATAAACCAGGTGGGAAGATGAATGGGAAACTGTATTCAATTTGCAACTGTTCAGCTACAAAAGACTGTCCACTCAGGTTGGTACCATTGATCCACGCCTCTGCGTGGGGAACCTCATTCTTCACATAGCAGGGAAACTTGTACCAGGCAGTAGCTCCATTCAGGGGTTTGCACTTAGGTTTATTGACACAGTAGCAGAGCCCCATCTTCTCCAGCAGCTCTAGGATGAGCCGCAAGTCCTCTTGGCTCTGGATATGGGGCTTGAGAAGCAAGCGGATAATGTGGGCAGGAAGGAGGCCATGCAGCAGGAACCCTTCCACATAGTGGTGGAGCTGAGCAGCTCTCAGTTCATCGATGTGAGTATCACTGAGCAGTTTCTGGAGCAGCACCGTGGCATCCCGTTGGCAGAAGACGTTAAGGATGTCAATGAGTCTTGGCAGGTTGTGGAACACATACTCGCGCAGGGTCAGGTGCTCCTCAAAGTACAGCAGCTTGCCACTTTCGTGCAGATAGGACAGGGCACTCTGCAGACGGTCCTCCGTTAGTCCAGCTTGCAAGCCTAGCCGGGCTGAGTCCCACCAGCTAAGCCACAGCTGCTGAGCCTGTGGCTGGAAATGCAGCTCCTCCAGTACCTCCCAGGACTTTGGCAGTACCCGGTGGAGGTTTGGGAAGATGTCCCGGTGCTCAGCCACAGAGAGGAGCTTGTCCCGCAGGCGCTGCACTTGGCAACGGTCTTGGCAGCTAAAGGGCAGCACTGGGGAGAGGATCTGTGGCCGGTGGTTGAGTAGATACTGGAATTGGGCTTTCTTGCGCCGCAGGTTCTTGTCCGACACCCCATAGAAGGCTGCGTGAGGGCTGGAGCAGCGGAGGTCGAAGTCCTGCCCCAGGGCCTCATCCACCTGGTGGGCTAAGCTCTGGAGGTCCTGAGCATCTCTCTTCTCCTGCAGGGCAATTTGATGGTGAATGTCCAGGCACTTCTCCTCCAGCTCCCGCTCGGCACAGAGGTCAGCATGGGTGCCTACCATGCACACCACTGCATGGGGCACCTTGGCACCTAACCAGTGCAGGAAGTACCCCACTGAGGGGTAGAAGCGCTGTGGGGCGTAGGCACTCAAATTCACTGCCAGTACATAGAGGGCTCCAGGAGAGAGGAAGAAAGACTGGATGACATCGTAGGTGGGGTCACCTGCCAGCTCATACACGATGAAGGTCAGGCCTCTCTCCGCATCTGCTGTCCAGTCAGTCACCTCAATGCCTTTGCTGCTGCCTGGCAGGCTTGCTACTACTGGGGCCAGGAGCGTGTCTGGCTGCAGCAGCATGGGACAAGGGTCTACCTGGGCTTCCCCATTAACTTTGGGGGTTGGAGCCAGGGGAACATCCTGCTGCTTGGCCTGCCTGAGCAGGGAGACTCTGGGGGACAGCCCATCTTGCTGCCTGGTGATGGGGCAATGGTCTAGCTGTGCTTTCCCAGCAGTTTTAGAAGCCGGGGCCAAGGGGGTGTTATTTTGCTGCTGCTGCTCCTGCTGCATGGAACATTCTCTGGGCTGGGATCTCCCAGCATCTGGAGATCCCAGGGAGGCTTCTCTCTGTCTCTCCTCCTCCATCAGGCATCTCCTCAGCAGGGTTTTGCCAGCATCTTTGAGGCCCATAAGAACCAACTTAAGCCGGGGCTTGAGAGCAGGCTGGGAGTGTGCCAATTCCTGCTGGTAGGCCGCAATGTAGGGGATGCCCTTCATGCAGACCTCGTAGGGGGGCTGGATGAGGGGGTTGTCCTTGATCTTCCAGAGGGTGACCCGGGAAAGCTGCCCAAAGCCCTCAGGCAGGATAGCGATCTGGTTGCCCTGCAGCACCAGTTCCTCCAGGTTGTGCAGCTGCACGATGGAGTCGGGCAGGTAGCGGAGACAGTTGTTGTCCAGCCAAAGGGTGCGGAGCTGCCGCAGCTGGCAGAGGGAGCCAGGAAGCAGGGCCAGCTGGTTGCGGCTCAGGTAGAGCTCCTCCAGGCCAGGCAGGGCCAGCACGGCTGCCGGGAACTCTCCCAGCGCATTGGAGGACAGGTTGAGCATCTTGAGCCGCTGCAGGCTGCCAAAGCCAGCGGGCAGGGCACGCAGCTGGTTCCCGTCCAGCATGAGGCTCTCAAGGGCGCCCAGCTGGCACAGCCCCTCAGGCAGAGCCGCCAGCCCGGTGCCGCTCAGCCACAAGATCTTGAGGCGGCGCAGGGCCGCGATGCCCTCAGGCAGGCACCGCAGCTGCCGGTTGCCAGAGCAATCCAGCTCCTCCAGCGCGGCCAGCTCCAGCAGCGGCGGCGGGAAGCCAGGCAGCTGATTATGGTCCACATCCAAGGCGCGCAGCTGGTGCAGGTGGCCCAGCCCCTCGGGCAGGCACCGCAGGTGGTTGAAGCTGAGGTCCAGCTCCTCCAGCTGGTGCAGCTCGCCCAGGCGCCCCGGCCCATCCGTGCCCAGCTGGTTGTGGCTCAGGCCCAGCTTGCGCAGCTCCCGCAGGGGCGCTAGGGCCTGGCCATCACCCAGCCCGTGCAGCCGGTTATGGCTCAGGTCCAGCTCAGCCAGGCGGCCCAGGTGGCGCAGGGCGGCGGCGGGCAGGCGCGCCAGGCGGTTGCGCCGCAGGCTCAGCACCCGCAGGTGCCCCAGGGCGGCGCCCAGC